GGGCTTTGGGTTTTCAATTGAATTTCTAGAGAGTTTGGTTTTCTATTATTTAGACCCTACTATTGGGCCTATAACTCAAGCCCCCTTTATGGTAAGGGTTTTTGCATTTCTCTTTCGTGTTAAATTGGTGATTCCGTAACATTTTTCGTTAGGTTGAATCACGTGCTCTAACTTTTAGTAGTAAATTGGACTTTTACACTAAATTTTAATTACTTTATTACTATTTTCATACAAATTGATTATTTTTACCATAAAATTGATCGCAATATTAACGGAGTTTGACGGTGGAATCAATTTGACACAACTTAAAATGGAACTCAGGGACCATTTTGGTTAAAAAAAATTTATTTTAAATTTTAGACACACCAATGGTGTTTATACTGTTTTAGCTTAATTATTTGTTTGCCACTTGAAACTTAATTATAGTCTCACTTTGCCCTACTAAACTCAATTAGCAATCTTATACACAGTATTATCATCAATCTGTACTTGAATGTTCCCTTTGCTCATTACCGATATACTTGAATTATCTCCTAACTTCACATGCTCTCTAAAATCTTCATTTAAATCAAAGAATAGAGATTTGTTACCACTCATATGATTGCTACACCCAGAATTCAGGTACCAAACAGCGGGTTTTAGTTTCTTCTCCTCAATGCAAGCCATCAAAAGTACTTCTGATTCGGCATAATTAGATTCTTCCTTTCCAGCAGATTCTGGGCACTCATACTGATAACAATATTTGTGGCAAATGGCGGAGCTAGGAATTCTATCAAGGAGAGTCAACTTTAAATAGCTTTATAATTACAAAGAACTTAGTTTTGATAGGAAAATATATATAAGAATTCATTATAATAATTAAATTTCAATATCACAAATTTAATATCTTAGTAAGTATAACCCAAATTCTAGCAACCTAGAAATAATGAAAGAGTATCAAAAGTTGATTTTAGATAGAATAAGAAAATCAAATAAAATCCATGACACACACATATAAATGACGTATGAAGACATGAAAAAAAATATAGATCATATTCAATGTTATAAAACTAAAGAGATTGTGGAGAGAATATAGAGAAATTAAGCTGTAATAGAAATCTGATGTTTTATCGAATCTTTGTTCTGTGTATTACATTGAAGGGAGGAAGTCCACTTATAGGCAAAGTCTCTTGGCTTCCTGTGGATGTGCAATCATGTCTTCCAATATGTGGATTCCACTTCCACAACACTTTCATCATGATATTCTTCATTATTTCCAAATATGTGGGCTCCACTCAAGACTTTACAACACTCTCCCTTGGAGACCACCATGTATGAAATATGCCTCATTAAAAACCTTGCCAGTAAAACCCAGTGGGACAAAAATTGGTCGAAGAGAAAAAGAGTATATAACCATGTGTAACATAAAATTCTGTGTATATTGACACACGTGCGACACTGCCTCGTTAAAACCTTGCCAGGAAAAACCTAATGGGATAAAAACTTGGACGAAGGAAAAAGAGTACAATGTGTGAAGGTCTTTATTGACAGCACGCTCCTCCTGATGCTTGGCAAAATATCTTTAAGCCATACTGTTGATCATCTTTCTGAATATCATAGTTGACACTGCTTTTGTGAATTAATCTTGTAATATTGTTGGATGCTCCCCTTGAAGAATATCCCCCTTGAAATCTTCATGACTAACTTTTTCCAGTAAGCGATCATAGAAATTTTCAGAGTCTGCGTATCCAACAAAATCTGGACTATTTGTAAGTTCACTTGAAAAGAATATGCTCGTATATGGTGTTATAAGGAGATAGCATCAAATATGCCACACATCATCCCAAAGTGGTGGTGATGGAGCTGAGCTCTATCTGAAAAATATAATATCCAGTCCAGTATACTTCCAGAAAATTATTTAAGTGCCCAACGGATAATCCACATAAAAATACTTCAATATCTTCTTAGTATAAGCAAGAATCTCGTTGGCATAATGCTCGATCTTGAGGCCGGGACAAATATTTCTTGAACTCTTCAAGAGTTTTAATGTGTTGCAAACATATTATAATAAATGTACTCACTGAGGCAATTTATGCATATTAGTATTGAGTACAGATTTTGTGCTTCAGGCACATGTCCTTTAGGGACTTGCTTCATGCAATTACAATCCTTTCAGGGATTTTGTTTAAGGGATTAAACTTTATAACGCATTATATAGCTTTAACCCAGCAATTTGTTCTGTTTGTACATCTTTAGGGAATCGCTTCTGATAATATGCTCTGTTCATTTAATAACCCTTAAAGATAATATGTTGGTCTCCATAAATGTGCAATAAGAAGGCACAATTGCATCTATAAATGTGGAGAAACTCTTCCTTGTTTCTGCCAGAAACATTGTGTCATACAAAGTGGGTATTCCCTTTTATTCCAAACACCCAAGTATAACTTTCAGTATTAACATCTTTTGGGGTTCATACTATGAGTTTGTTCTTTCACGTTCATTCTCATCTATAATGGAATTGCCTCTTTCCATTTTGGCCAATGATATTGTTGACATTTAATAATAGAAAGTGGTTCCAATCAACACAACCCATTGATGATTTGAGTAGCTACTCCAAAACCAAAAATTGTCATTCATCAATTCATGACCCCACCATTCTCATGTGCATGAGCATGCATCAATTATAAGCATTTCTTTGCTTTTGGGTACCCAAGCCACTTCAGGGGGGCTTTTATTATGTGAGAATGTGGCTTATAACCTCCAATGGAGCGTTATTTTACAGTAGGGCGTGGATAATCTCCATTTAGGGAGTTGGAACATTTAGAACGCATATATATGTCATGTTGCAGGCATGCCACAGATTAATACATACATGTCAATTAATTGTCCTTCTGGGACTTTAAACCATATAACTTGCTACGCATTAGGTGTGCACCATATTAATATTGACATGTTAATAGATTATCCTTCCGGGACTTCAATCCATATCATTTTCTACGCAATAGGCGTGCATATTGATCACTGCTATACCCATGTTCCGTTCTTAGGAGACTTTAATCTATGCAATGTATTATCAATGTATCCAACTTGCAATCTGTGAAATTTGCATTAATAATTCATGGATACATATCAGAGTGATACAAGCCATTCTTCTGTAATGGTCATAATACAAGTCGTTCTTTTGGAATGATCTATGATGCAAGTCATTCTTCTGGAATGATCTATAATGCAAGTCATTCTTCTGAAATGGTCCTTTGCATGACGTTCTTCTGGAACGGCCTTATCTCACCATTTGGTTACCTTTAAGGATGTAGTACAAAATATCAAAATAAGAGTACAAGCATGAAATAACACAAGTATTGCTTACATCCTTAGGTGGGAGAAACTTTGCTCAAATATCATTCAAGCTTGTGTCGGCTCAACAAACATAATTAATGTTACTCCTGTTGATCTAGTTATATCTTGCAACACCAAAACTCACAATTCTTGTCTCTGTCAAAAAAAAATAACCCTCGGTGTTAGGATCACTACATGGATTCTTTCTTCAAATGTTCATTCTAAAGAAATAAAACCCCTTATGAATAGAGAGTTATAAAAAGAAAGAAAAGATACAAAGAATTGTGATATTGATTGCAAGGTAGGTAAGCAATCAGGGAAGGAAACTGGTGATGTAACAAACAACAAACTCTCATTTCTCCTAGCATAGAAGAACTTCAGGAGATTAGAGCATGTGGTCGTCCTTACAGCTCCCCGACATTGCCGAAATGTGATCAGGGATAGTCTCTCTTCCTGAATGGATGATCAGAGATAATTTCGCTTCTCAAGCACATCGAGCGCTCACTGATAGAAAAAACAAGTGGATATTGCATCACTAGATATGGAGAAGTTGGAGAAAACTAGATGTCTTCTGCAAAAAAAAATTCGTTAGTAACATATTTATACACAAATTAGAGGAATAGGTAGATTCGATGAATTTCAAATTAACTGCAGAAATTTGAGAGGTTCTCTGGGTGCTTTTGAAAAAGTAGCTCCATGAAATATGCAAAGCAAGATTAGCTTTGACGAAAATAATCCTTGAAAACGTTGAAAGTGCTGACAGACATTAATGGAGGCCGTGTGAAGTTTTGGAAGCTGGGAAAGGAAAAGAGAATATAGGGATCTGAGAAGATATTGGGATCCTGGAAACGTTGCCATATTTCCGTCTATAGATATTGCCTTTGCAAGACTTGATTGGAGTAACTGTGTTTCAACTCAACTTCCTTTCATTTTTTTTGAAAATTCAGCTTTTTAAAGACTTTCCTCAAAACCTTCTTAAAATGTCTTCTAGAACATAATGGAATTTTATATATTTTACAGATCCTGCTCCTTCCTTGCAGGTGAAAAGAATCTATTTGTTGTATGCTCCTTTTCTCTTATAATAATTGCGCAATTTCTTAAACTTGCACCTGTGGTTTTCACGTCTTTTCAAAATGACGATTTGGAACCTTGTGCCTTATAGGTTCAAATAACCACATCAAATCTCTCAAATTACATATTTCATGCATGTGAGTCCGAAACTTCTGGCCCGGGCTAAAACACGACCTAAGAATTTATTTGCCCTTTTCAAATGGGCATGAAATATAAATTGAGTAAAAGCCATGATAATATTGCAATATAGTAATGAAGAGCATTAACTACTATATACCCAAAACTTCAGGCTCGGGATCTCTCATATATTTGGATCCATAGGCTTCCGGCCCATATCATATAAAATAACAAAATATGTGGGGAGCCTCAATTCATCATTTGAGGTTTATCCTAATATTATCCATTTCACGGTGTATTCTTAACAACCGGAATTCACAAAATATATTTCTTCCTTGAGGTGTCGATTGTAACAGAATCGATCTTTATTAAATTCATCATTTTCTTATGCCAAAGAAAAATGTGGTGTTCCACAATTTGCAATAATACCTCAAGGGTTGTCCATTTAACTGTTGGAACTTCAGGTTCTCAATATTGTCAAATTTTGAACTTCAGGCCAAAATCTCATATTTTCATGGCATGGACATTTTTATAATTTCCTATACACATTTTGGGACTCCAATTTGTAGATTAAGTTTTCAAAACACACTTTCAAAGTTGTCATGCTGTTATCCACAACATGAATATGAGCATTGTCATGTTGAAACTTTGGAGGATGTTTATTTAGTCAATTATCTAGTAGTTTATCACAAAAAATTAGAAGGAAATGCATTGCATTACGAGTTTAACTAATTTAAGTTGATTATATAGCGAGATACGAGTGTAAAAAATATGTAGTAATTAATGAAAGAAGATGAAACACACCATAATCATTTATTTATAATGATTTACTACAATATTTTACACTTTATACATTGCATTGTAAGATACATCATACATGAGTGACTTAGTACCACATAGAGTTCCTATGAGGTTCAAATTCTGTCTTCATCATCTCGATATAATTACTTGGGTTTTGTTTCTTTTGTTGTTATAGTTTTGATTTTGTGTTGGGTTTTGTCATTTCCAGGATGCCCATAATAATTTTAACTTCTCAAAGAATTGGAAGGGTTGATCGGTGAGTTCTGAAGAGAGAGTCATAAGAGCAACTGAGGAGTTTTACATTTGTGCTTAGAAGTCATTTTATAAAGGGGTAAATTTGTCTTTAAATATTTTGAAGATAAAATAGGTGGGGAAATAGAATAGAGGGGTGGAAATAGCAGCACTCTATTTAAAATGTTCTTGGACTTTTTTAACCACGTGGAGTGCTGTAAACTAAGCCACTCTTCTATATTATTAGTAGTCAATCTGAAATTACAAACACAATTAACACAAAAGAGAGTACAAACACACAGAACATTAAAGATCCCATGGCTCAAATCTTAGAAACTAATCATCGAGATATAGAGCAGCTGCCAATTGCTGAAGACAGATGCAAACTCGAATATTATTACACGCAAATTAAAACACACAAAACATATATATCAACTGCAAGTTATGATCATCAACTTGGGTATTATTTGATTTTTTTGTTCAAGGCAAACAAGAAGCCGATTCAAATCAGTCGTGGGCTACGCAGGTGGTTAACAAGTTATTCCAACCCCAAACCGGGTAGAATCTTCAAGTCCTGGACTTGTTTCTGAAAAATATTTAAAAAGACAAAAGTATTGTAATTAACAAACAGAACTTCAATGTATAATTCATATATGTGGCTCAGGACTCTTAACTTGGGATGATTTAAATGACTTTACAGCCAGCCAAGGGCAATCCAAATAATTGAAGTTTAGGAAAGTCAGTGCAACGATAGAAGATACTTACGTATATCTGTTACATCTCTCGTCGACGAGTAGCATCCTTGCATGATTCACACCTCCTTCTCGTATGGACTCTGCAAATTTCTTTGAAACACATTCAAATGTGTATCCTTTTAGTTTAGTAAGGTGCTCAATACCCTGTGGCAATGTCTCTAATCCCAAGAACCTATAAATGCCGAAGAACTCCAGATTTGGCATCACCCCTTTCTCTATAGTCATCTTATTTAATAATGAGAGATCCCTCAAATTCAAATACCTAAGCTTCACAAAGCCTCTACTGAAACACAACTCTTTTCCAACATAGGAATCTCTAAGGTGAAGCGAAAGTAGAGAGGGCAATGCTTCAATATGAGGTAGTAAATCTTCTTCAAGTTTAGACCCACACAGATGCAAATATGTGAGACATTGGAGTGAACAAAACCAATGTGGTACTTTTTCCAGTTTGCCTTTCAAGACAAGTCCATCAAGGTAGGATGACGGTGAAGACAATGCATCAACTCGAAGAAATTCCTCTCCATCTGCTACCGATAAATACAAGTGGGAAAGGACCTTCATCTCTTGAATTGAGGCACATAGGTCCTTCTCGTCACTTACCTTGACATTTGTAATGCCAAGGATCGTAAGCTGGGTCATATTTCCAATAAGTCTAATAATATTTCCTTCTGATTCAATAAATAATAAAGACTGCAATTTCTTCATCTTACTAATACTTGATGGTAATTTTACCCCAACGTACTTTGAACCAATTTTGGAATGGCCCATAAAGAGATGGCGCAGGTTTAGCAACTTGGAAATCCCTATTGGAAGTGCCTCTATATCTGTGCACAAGAGGTCCAAGGTCTGAAGGTTGTGGAGCTGGCTTATGGATTCTGGAAGCTCCTTAATTCGAGTGTTTCTCAAATTCAAATATTTTAAATTAAACAAGTACGCTAGTTCATCTGGCAGACGATCAATTGGGACGCCCTCCAAATCTAGAACCCTCAACAATGTAGAGTCAAAAGGCAATTTCTTTGAGAAAGAGAATGAGCATATGCCAGTGGCAAAGACAAGAAAAGAACGAAGCCGTGACATACCTGTGCGTGGTCCAATTTCTCCAATAGTTGTTTGAATTGACAAACGGAGGGCCCCGGTTTCTTCCATTGTTTCACTCCCATCAAGAACGACACAAAACTTTTCTTTTTCTGCTATAGGCAAAGCAATCTCCCGCATAAGATCATGCATCTTACATGCTGGTTGGTCTTCTCGATACCTTTCCTGTAGCATGTTACGAAAAATGAGTTCCATAACGTAGCTGTTTGCAACTTCTTCTAGTGTTACCCCTTTGACATGTTCAACAAATCCTTCAGCGATCCACAATCTATTGAGCCTTCGATTTATGATCACCTCATCTTCTGGGAAAAGGGAACAATATAGAAAGCATTGCTTCAATCTATATGGCAAATCCTTGAAACTAAGCAACAAGATGCTCTTCATAGGTTCTAACAAAGAATTGTTTGTT